TCGAAGGCCGAGCATTACTGCACCACGCAGACATCTGCCAATAAAACCCGACCGGCCGTCAGACTCAGCCAGACGCTCCAGAGCCAAACCACCAACAGGGGAGAGCAGAAAGATCTCCACAGCTTCAGAGAAATCATGCGCCTGCTCTTACATAAGCCTGATTTCAGCCAGACTTAAGAAGCTACATCCCAACACACAAGAAGACAATTACAGAGAAATTCCACCAATTTTCCATATTTCTTCCATTATTTAGTGTGTGAGATGTAAAGAGTGATTCAGAGTGGTTTGGTGTAAAATGGTTCAGATCTCTTTACAGTGGTGGTGATAGGAACCAGGCGTCACTATTACTACAACACAAATATAGCCATTTTATTTACAATCCAAAACCACCAGTGAACCTACACGTCTTCTGAGTTTTAAATGGAATGTTGAAGATGGGAAAATAATGGAAAATCTGAAATAAGTTTTGTTTATGCCCTACATAAACCTCCACCATGAATGGATTTCAGACATCAGGCAGTGAATTCATAACCATTTCTGTGAGGGAGCTTTTAGAGGTGGACTCTGTTTCCTATCACCACCACCGTGGACAGTTCTGACTCTGCAAGTTTCTGTAGAACAGAGCGTTTCACACCAAACCACTCTGAACGGGCTGTTTACATCTTAACTGTTTAATCATGCAGGAATTTTATTGCCTTGTAAGACGTCTCAGTGCTTTGAGCTGGAACTGTTTCTGTAACAGAGGCCTGATGCATTTTATGAAGTATGTAGATGTGACAACATTAAGCATTGATAGCACTGCTAGTTCAGTTCTGCTGTTTATTAAAAGTAATCATTTTTGCTCGAATACTTAAATGTAAAAGTACTATAACAGCATAAATTGAGCTAAATGTGTCAGATTGTTCCCCCCTGTGCTCTGTAGAACATTCATGGTTTGTTATAAGAAAAAACACACAGAACATTAAATTGAAAAGCCTTTATCTGAGAGGAACGCAGCATCATACAGCAACGAGAAGAACATCTGCCCACAACTGGATCTTCACTTCACTGTGAGGACTTCATAAAGCCTGATGGACAGTTCTGACACAGACAGATACAGTAATATCTCCTAATTAAAGTGTACAGAAGGGCCACTGCAGTTCTGAGAGATCATTATACAGCAATTCAACAGATAAACTGACTTACAGCAGGTCCAGTCCTGTAGCTCTCATCACACTGTAGATCATAACAGTAAACTTCACTGCAGAGTTCACTTTGAAACAAACTGTTTTTAGAAAATCAATGTTAAGTTTAACAAAGTTTAATATATATTTGTGTGTGTGTGTGTGTGTGTGTGTGTATACACACCCTTTAGATTGTGTCAAGATACACATTCCAACAATGATGGCATACACACACTAACACGCCACCACCACGTCAGTGTCGCTGCAGTGCTGAGAATGACCCACCACCCAAATAGTACCTGCTCTGTGGGGGTCCTGACCCATGAAGAACAGGGTAACAAAGTATGCAGAGAAACAGATGGACTACAGTCTGTAACTGTAGAACTATGAGGTGCTCCTATATGGTCAGTGGATCCGATAAAATGGACAGTGAGTGTAGAAATGAGGTGTAAGTGGCCGGTGAGTGTATGTACACACACTCCTGTGCAAAAATAAAAAAGGTTCCAATCCTAAAATACAGGGTGATTCAAAAAGATTAACCCGATTTCAAAGTGCCATGTTTTTACAACCGTGAGGTGCCTAGGAACCATTCACATACCAATTGAAAGTGTTTTGCGTTCTCCACTTCAATCAGAGTGAATCTGTCATAACTGTGCACCGTGATTTTCGTCGGCAGTGAACCTCCAACAGTTTAGAGCATTCATCATTGGTTCCACAACATTGGATGATCTCCGAAATCGCACTGCAAGAGTCGTGAATACAGTGACACCCCACTTGCTCAATCGAGTTTGGGATGAATTTGACTATGGCGTTGATGTTGTCCGTACAGCTGGACGAGGCCATATTGAGCACTTGTAAAATTACATAATAACCTTTATGCTCACTTAAACAATTTACAATTTACTGCATTGCTCAAGTGAAATAAATCATTTTGAAATTGGATGAATCTTTTTACATCACCCTGTATACTGACTTTTCACTGTCGTTTCTGGCTGGCCAGAGTCCAGATTTAAACCCTGTAGAGAACATTTGGTCTCGCATTAAACACAAACTAGCTCAGCAGTGTTTTTCAGCTGTTTAAAGCCGTCAATGCTGAGTGGATCAATACTCACTCTTCTTTCTGTAAAAGACTGTCTGCACATTTACACACAAAACTTCAACATTTAAAGAAATCAAAGTGAAAATTTTTCAGTTTTTGGCACAGCTTGACATGAAAAGTAAACTATGTTTTTTCTTTCTCCTGTAAAGTTATCACTTTGGACATATGAAATTTTGTTCAGACAGCAGCAAGATATATATATATATATATATATATATATATATATGAAAATCTTGAGTAGTATTCCAGAGAATTTGGGGAATGCAAGCTTGATAGCTGTTTTTAAGTCCAGATTTAAAACATGTTTGTTTGGGCTAGAAGTACTCTGTCTCATTTCCTGCTGTTATTGTGTTTTTGTGTTGTGTTTGTGGCCTGTGCGCCTCATTTATTTATTTTTTTCTCCCAATATCTTCAAAATATGTGCAAAAAATATGCAGAAAAATGTGTGTTCTCTGTAACTTTAGTTAGAAACCAACAAAACATGGAATTTAGCTGGGGGTGTTCATACGGCCGTACATGTTTATGTGGATGTAAAAGGTGAATAATGAGGACGGCTAACGGCTTTAGTGAATGTAAACAGAATCTGTGGAGCAGTGATAGGGTACGCTGTCATAATATTCTTAACTCATTAACTTGTTTTTTACATCAGTAGTTGATTACTGATCTTGACTGAGTGGATCAGGGTTTCCTAAATGAAGGTAAGATTTACTTCTGTCATCCGAATTGGTGAAAGATCTGGTCTTGATCTTGTGGGATCTTAACTGAGGCCTAAAGTGAGGAAGTTTCTGCAGGACTGGATCCAGTAAACCTCAGTCTACAGCACCTTAATATAAGAGAAAAACAGAGATGAACAGCAGCGTGATCTCTCTCTGTAAGGCCCCACATTACTGAGAAATATCTACAAATATCAGCCAGTCAGTGAAGCCACAGTGTTCCACATGAACAGCACGACAGCTGCTTACAGAACCAGGCTTACATCAAAGCGGCTGATCTTCAGAGACCAATCAGATCTCCAGGGTTCCTTCAGCTTAACATCAGCTCCACAGTCAGTGGGAACATGAGCTTTCACACACAAAAACAAAGAGGAACAACCATCAAGCAAACAATAACAATAAAAAAAAACCACAGTATTTCCAGCATTTCTTCACATTCACATTTTCCTCCGTTTGGGTTTATGCGTCAATACTGCTCTTGATATATGCTTCAGGAATAATTTACTAATATGATATACAGTATATAAAAAGGTTACAAACTGCATATATTGTCATAAGAAAAAGAGTGGCAGGCCTACAGTACAATAATCAATAATATAATAACTGACTGATCATGTATAATGTAATAATTCCTCAAAACAGGCTGAAAATGTAAAACGATCAATAATGTAGTATGTCTTTCTGACCTTTTGTGCATTTTAACCTATAAATCATTACATTATAGAGTGACTAGATTTCTAAATTAATGATTTTTTGTTAATAGGCTTATAATATACAGTATCAGACCAAAACCTACATTTTTCTTTCCATGTTTTATTTTTTTTACTTAAATTAAGTTTGTAAAACTACAACTTATTTTGGCAAACAATGATGTCTGGTTGAATAAATAAAAAAACATGAACGATTTAAATAATTTAAAGTTGATTTAAAAGAAAATTTTAAATGAATTTTTCAAATTCTCATCACCACAACACAAAATTTGAAGATAATCTGTAAATATTTTTTTTCTGTACAATGGCGTCAGAATAAAGTGGAATAAAATGAAAAAAAAAAATCAAATACATATATTTAGCAAAATATGGTGTTTTACAGTTTCATCTCATTACCGCAACACACTGACAGCCATTTAGATTTTTAGTTTTATGATCACATTTTGCTGTTTTGGTTACAGTTTACAAGGAAACAGAAAAGTAATGAAATTTAAAAGTAATACAAGGCTCATTTATAAATAATATTATTAATGAGAAAATATTATGAACACACGAGAACATGTGGTGGTGAGAATTAGGGTAAAAAGGCTCCAACTAATCTAAGTATGAATACTGATGATTAGCATGACTCATGACACTCAAATATTTATGGAGATGTTTTGAAGCAGTTTTATGAGAATGATCCAGCTGTATTTTTTGTTTCATGATGAACGGATCAATATAAACGCTCCAAAATTGCTCAGATCAAAGCCTCTTTACAGTAACATACATTTAAAGTTTTTCCTTCTCCTGTTAAGTTTCCATGTCACCTGCAGTGACGATATAAGTCCTATGTAACGTTGTCGTATACAGCCATACTTTACTACTTTAATACTGATCAGAAAAGAGCATTTAATTTTAGTACATTATTAACATTTTAAACTTAGTAAGTCTATTACATACTCAGTATTACAATAAGCAATAATTAATGCTGTCAAAAAATTAAAATAATGGATCATTATTAATTGCATTAGTCATTTATATTTAAATGACTAATGAAAGATACGTTTCCATTTATAAAGCAGTGCACTGTTACAGCTTTACAAGTGGACAAAATAAGCTTCTGTTTATTACCTTCAATAATTCACTATTATTCTGAACGCAGAACTTTAATATAAATGCACACAATTTTCACAGTTTTCAATTTTCATCATCAACGTCCAGTGAGAGCAACAGCGCCTGCATGTTCAACCACCAAGTGTATATATCATATATATATATATATATATATATATATATATATATATATATATATATATACACACACATACAGTCAATGGCCCACATTTATCAAAGTTTTTGGAGTAATAACACTGTTCTAGTATCAGCTTATGTTTTTTACCTAACGTTAAATAAAATTCCCTGTCTGTTAAAGGTGCTGAAGGTTTTACTTTAAAAGACATTTGAAGCTCTATCTGAACGGGAGCTACAATCACGGATTCTATCAGAGCGACACACAGCGCTACAGCTGGGCTTCAGCCTGCACTGCTGCAGACGGCTCAAATTAGGAAAATGAGTTAATGGCTTTGAAGAAATTAATGATGCTAGTAATTTATAGCATAACAGCGATATTAAAATAATAACCACTAATGCTGTTTTTACATCATTGGTCAGTTATTATATTACTGGTCAGTTATTACACTACTGGTTTCTCTATGAAGGCTGTTTATGAGAAGCGTTGTGTGTGTTTATTTTGGCAGAAGCAGAAGTAAAGTGCTGCAGAGGAGCAAACAAAGCAAAGCACCGAGGTAGACAAATCCCCCCAGTTTCCCCCACTTTAATCCAAATGTAGTCAATCAGCTGAGACGTGTTCGGTGTCTGAAGTTTGTTTCTTCAGTTTTAGCACTGGAGCTATGAGGCTATCAACCAATGAAAAGTTATACCCACCAACCTAAAGCCTAAATCATTACTCAATCGCCCCAAAGAGTGTCCCAAATTTCTGCATAATTAAACGGATAAGAATTGTTCACAGTAGTGGTGAGAGGAACCAGACGTCCACCTCTAAAAGCTCCCTCACAGAAAGTTAATGGTGGCATGAAGCCAAGCAATCACTGCCATGGTGACTGTAGTGGCAGTAAAATGGATGATTATTAGAGGAGAGCTTTATCAATGTAGACTGTATATTTAAGGTGGAGAGAGGCAGGAGGCGCTCTGCACTCTTATTTGAGGTGTATAATACTGATTTAAAAAGATCTGGTTTATTCCACCGCTGCAGTCCGCGACGAAAGTTAGGAAAATTGAACTCAATGGATCGTTCTGCTGGCGATGGCATACTTTTCCACTGTGGATCCATTGAAAACAACGGAATATCCAGTTTGCCATCGTCCATCTGCCACAAACATCACAAACCCAGTATTACATCTGAAACCTGAATTATGCAGAAAGATTTGGAAAGATTGGTGGAATTCCCCTTTAAGTAATTTCTAATATACTTGATTATGTGGTTTTTGACACTGTAGGACTCACTGTTATCTATAAACATGGACTAAAGTACAAATCGGCAAGCACTAGCTAAAAACAGCAGCCCTGAAATTTTTTGGTATTTTTTCTCCCCAATTTAGTCATATTCAATTCCACTCAATAGCCTCCCTCAGTCACACGATACCACTAGTGCTAGGAGAGTGAAAGCAAACACAAGCTTCCTCCGAGACCTGTGAAGCTCCACCACATCTTCTCAAACTGCTGCTAACGCAACGTCATTGGACAGCTGAACGCACTCAGAGGACAGACGCCTGCTCTTGCTAGCATTGCGCTGAATGATGGGAAGAGATGGGGGGGCATCCTGCCCACCCAGAGAGAGAGAGGACAACTGGGGGGATAGAACTTGCGATCTCCTGATGATAAGGCCAACACTTAGACAGTTGCACCACATAAGCTTCCATCACTTATCTACTTCAGCCTCATAGCTCCAATGCTAAAACTGAAGATACCAAACGTGTCTTGGCTGATCTACCTTTAGAATAAGGGGACAATTACGAAAAACATTTCACCCAACTATCTCTTTAAGGCTTCCCCTGTGTGCCCCTGGGCTGGAAAGGTGCAGCTAGAAATGGGTCCGTCACAGCTCGGAGTCCAATGGTCCATGAGTGGAGTGGGCCAACTGGGACGGAGCCGACCGCGGCCTGCTGACCCACGCTGGACACCACGCGATGTGCCGCGACTGGCTGCTGCAAGACCGCTGCCTCAGGGCAGCGGGGAGGACGAATGTGACTCCAGACCGGGGGATGGGCCACCAAACCTGGCTCTCTGACCGCAGGATGTGTCTGAAACTGCACGGACGAGTCTTTACAGGGTCCAAACGGCGCCTGGAGGAAAACGTCCTGGGCTGCGTTTCTCTGGGGCTGGGGGAAGGGGGCGCTAGTGAATACATCCCATCCCCCGCGAGGGAAAGGGGCACTAGAGAAGACATCCATCGGGGTGCAGCACTGCTCCAGGCCTGAAGAGGGCGACTCTATGTCCAGAAGCAGATTGGAGTCGCTGCAGGCGGTCAGAGTCGCCTCCTCTGTCTCATGAACTCTCCAGCTCGTCCAATCAGCTGCCTCCAAACCCTGAGAGCTGGAGCCATCAGATACAAACCCATTCACCCCGACCAGCTCACCTGTAGAGAGAAAAAGAACAGCAAGTAAAGACCTGATCAGTTAAAGGGGAATTTTACAGATTTTTCAAAAATTCTGCATAATTAAATGGTTAAAATGTAAACAGAGTCGTTCAAAGTGGTTTGGTGTGAAACACTCAGTTCTAAATAGACTTACAGTCAGAATTGTTCACAGTGGTGATGATAGGAACCAGACGTCCACCTCTAAAAACTCCCTCACAGGAAGTTATTACATGAAATGGTTATGAATTCACTGCCTGATGACTGAGACACTGTTTTATGATAATGAGAATTTAAAATCCATTCATGGTGGAGGGACACATGCAGAGACAAAATAGTCCCCAAAGAAAACTTATTTCAGAATTTCCACTATTTTTCCATCATCAACATTTCATATAAAACTAAGAAGACACTTGTAGGTTCACGGGTGGTTTTGGATAGTAAATAAAACGTCTATATTTGTGTTGTAGTCATGGCAACCCCTGGTTCCTATCACCACCAGTGTAAAGAAATCTGAATCAATTTACACTAAATTGTACAGAATTTTGCCAAAATTGGTGGAATTCTCCTTTAATTCCCCCTCTGAATGTAAAAGAATATACAGATTGTTTAACCCAAATTCAATATCTGGATGCTGTACAGCTTGAAATATGTGTGTGAACTTTCTTTTGATCTGGACGTCATTTCTTAAGTATGTGTCGGGTTTTGTTGGGTTCTAATTTCCTTTTGGAGTTCTCACAGCCCACCTCCCACTTTTCCTTTTAACCTGCATTACTTTATTTTCACTACTTCTACTGCCTTAAATCACTTTTTAATCTGGCACACTGGAATAACTTACTCAGCACAGAGGACCACACTCATAAGAAAATGAATATTAGTTGAGTAAGTTAGCTTTTTAGCCGGCTTATTAGTCTACCAAGTAGTTAAACAAAACTGCCTTCTAATGTAGGGAGTTTTCTATGGTTTCAGGTCTTCATGTACACTATATTACCAAAAATGTGTGGACACCTGACCATCACACCTTTTGGAGCTTGCTGGATATCCCATTTCAAAAGCATGGGCATTAATATAGAGTTGCCCTCCTTTGCGGCTATAACAGCTTCCACTCTTCTGGGAAGCTTTCCAGAACATTTTGCAGTGTGTTTGTGGGGATTTGTGCTCCTCCAGTCAAAAGAGCATTTGTGAGGTCAGACACTGATGTTGGACAAGAAGGCCTGAATCACAATCAACGTTACAGTTCATCCCAAAGGTGTTCAGTGGGGTTAAGGTCAGGGCTCTGTACAGGCTACTCAAATTCCTCCACACCAAACTGGTCAAACCATGTCATTATTGAGTTTGCTTTGTGCACAGCGGCTCAGTCATGCTGGAACAGAAAAGGGTCTTCCCCAAACTGCTGACACAAAGCTGGAAGCATATAACTGTGTAAAACATCTTTGTGCGCTGTAGCATTAACATCACCCTTCACTGGAACTAAGGGGTCTGAAAAAGAGCCCCAGCTCATTATCCCTCCTCCACCAAACTTTTCTGTTGGCACTGTGCATTCTAGTAGGAACGTCCAACAAACCAAGCTGTACAAACTGCACTCCATGACTAGATGATGTCATCTGTCATGCAAAAGAAGAGATACACAACGAAATACTGAGCTAAATAAAATACTACACACTGACCTACATAAAGGACAGACACTTTAATGTATGTCCCACTAATGTTTCAGCACTTTTACTGCCTTACTTTAGTTTTCAGTTCTTTCTGAATTTCAGTAATAAACCTGGTTGTTATTTTCTGGTGGATACAAATGAATAAATAATGTTCACTTGAAATGTAATAACTAAACAAGATAAAAATTGTATTCAGAGTCTGTCCCAGGACTACTGTTGAGCGCTGTGAGGGCCTATTTAAGGATGAACAGTATGACAACGTATCATCGTGATAAATTGTCATAATACAATACAATCTGCTTTTCTGAACTTATCATGTACAACCCCAATTCCAAAAAAAGTTGGGACGCTGTGTAAAATGTAAATACATGTAAATAAAAACAGAATGCAATGATTTGCAAATCTCATAGACCCATACTTTATTCACAGTAGAACATAGAACACATCAGATGTTGAAAGTGAGACATTTTACCATTTCATGAAAAAGTAACGCATCCCAAAAAAGTTGGGACAGGGGCAACAAAAGGCTGGAAAAGTAAGTGATACTAATATCACCAAAACCAGCTGGAGGAGCAATGTGCAACTAACTCATATGACTGGGTATAAAAAGAGCATTTTAGAGAGGCAGAGTCTCTCAGAAGCAAAGATGGGCAGAAGTTCACCAATCTGGGAGAATTGGGTCTAAAAATTGTGGAACAATTTCAGAAAAATGTTCCTCAACATAAAATTGCGAAGACTTTGGACATCCCACCATCTACAGTGAGTTATATCGTCAAAGAGAAATCCCTGTACACAAGGAACAAGGCCGATGGTCAATAATGGATGCTTGTGATCTTCGGGCTCTCAGGCAACACTGCACCGAAAACAGGCAATGCATATTTTGGAATTGGGGTTGTATATCATCAATACCTGTAGACACTGACCTACTGCATGGTCCATTATAAAGAGAGCAAATTTAGTCCTGTTTATCTGGATTTAGTGCCAGATACTGAATAAAAATCATTGTGTTCACAGTTTCTGATAGTATTTTTTTAAAATGTAGCAGTAGAGGTTCTCTATACTCTGTTCCAACTGATCAGGTGTCACACTGATTTTGAAACCGCAAAACTGTGACACTGTGCACATTTTGTAATCAGAGTCTGCTCCATTTCCTGGGTTAAAAATCAGGCTGATCAATCAGAGCTCCATTGTCATGGCTGCAGCCCAAACAACTGCACTTCAAGATGGCAGCGACTGTGGCAGCAGAACACAAAAGCTTATACAACAAGCAACATGCTTACTATAAATGAGGCTGAAGTAAATGTGGCACAGCAGAGCTGAAAGGCCGAGAATGACAATGAGTAACATAAGAGCAACTGTGCAAAGCCGTTTTTTAGTTTACAAAGGTGCATCCTAGTCAGATCAGTTTGATCCAGAGTGGATCCGGAACGTCAGGTCAGCGTCTTCTTTACACTTTGCAACACTGAACACACTGTTCCTCCTTCAGTAGCTGCTGTGCGCTGTGTGAGAGCGTGCCAAGTTTTCCGGTAGGCAGAGTTTTGTTGCCTGAAAAATGTTCCTTGGTGTGAACAGGCCTTAAAGATGCTCTCCTGTTAAACACATCCTGTACAGAATCTAACGTATGGTGTTCAATTCATTGTATGCGAGTAACAACATGTAGAAATGGGTTGAATAATTTTATAAGAAACATTTCTACAGCAATTGAGAAATACGAAGATGTACTGACTAGACTTAAGATGATTTCACGCAATATTAATTTGCTGCAGTGGGTTATTTCAGTTTATGTGGAAGAAATGATCTTTGGACAAATTTAAAAATGACTCTCTAATGAATCTATTCTCTTAAAGATCATAAAGTTGTCTGGCTGCTCTGTGTTCAATCATTTCCAGGCTGCTGATATAAAGAGCTGCTGTATTGAACGTTTTATTTTATTCAGGTTCTGCGCTGAAAGAACACAGAGTGCAGCTGTTTTATCATTAGCATTCTTGAACATATCCGTCTGAGTGAATGAGCTCACACTGCATATTTTAACTGTTTTATTTTAGGTGTTTTTCTCAGCTTTTTTATTGACTCGGTGTTGAAGGAGAACGCCTAATTAGAAACTGTTAGTTATAAAAGTGAAGTTCTTGCACTCAGATTGAAGCTAAATTATCAGTTATGATGCACTGAGCACATCTTACAGACACAAATAAACAGAGAGAGAGAGGGAGTGAGAGAGAGATCTAATGAACAGGACGTGTGGAGAGGTCAGGGGGGCCTATTTGGTCTGGGGAGGAACCAACATCAGGAGGCAAGAGCCAATAAACATAAAGGTAACAAGTTTATATTGAGGAACACATACTGGGATTTTATTAACATCTGGTTCTTTTTTCATTAAAACCCCAATTAGACACGTCTAAATGGTTTATTCACTCTGCATTAAGCACTTAATTTGATGTGTGTTATTTAAAGGGGACCGATTATTGTTCTCATTGTCAATGTTTATGATTTTATTTTTTATTTACTAGAACAGATTTACAGCTTCAATGTTCCAAAAACACATTATTTCTCTCATAATCTACATCTCTATATTCAGCATGCTCTGATTGGTCATCTCATCCACTCTATTCTGATCACTCAGCCTCCAGAGCGGTTCCGCCCCTCCACGTTCTGCACGTTCCTGCAGTCTGCAGACAGACCCTTCTCTCCTGAGCAGCTGTAAACTCCATTGTGGCTGTTTTTCTAGCGGTGTCGGTTCTGCCGTATGAGTTTGATCCAGAGTGGATCCTGAAAGTCCAGTCAGCGTCTTTTCCACACGCTACAACACTGACCACACTCCTCCTCCTCCAGTAGCTGCTGTGCACTGTGTGAGGGTGGGCCAAGCTCACCAGTAGGTGGGCAGTAAGTACTGTGTTACGAGATTGAGTCATCTTGTAACAAAAGAAAAGGGCTGGAATTTCAACGAGGTGTTTCAGGCAGCTGAGAAAAGTGGTTTCTGTGGGAGAGAGTTTCTCTCTCTGGAGGGAACGCTGAGCTTTGGGACTTTGCAGAAGGTTTACATACACAATAAGCACCAGAGGTCTGCTTTAAGTGCCAGTTTGGCCCATTAACGAGCAAATGCTGCTGTTTATATGGCAAGTTAAGGTAATAAAAAGTGCTGGAAATGTGCTTCATGTGTTTGTTTAGTCCACACAGCTTTGGAGCTATGAGCTTTGGATTGGAAAAAAAGGCTACTAAAAACCCGCCAAAAAAATAGTCATCTGCCAATTTGGCCGTCAAGAAATCAGAGCTGGCCATAAAACTTTAGCCCCAGCAACTCTATTAGTTTATATGATTTTTAAATTTAATTTATCCAAGATCTACTGA